TTTGGTAATTTGTATACCTAATAGCGAAGGCTCTATGCGGATGAGGGCCTTGATACCTGAAAAATTGGTGTAGATGCTACTATGAATTAATTTGGTGATCACATTCTGAAACTGTGCTATATTTACAATTGACTTATTACAAGCAAGGCTTCAGCAAACAGTTGCCCCAACTAATTTATTTTAGGCAAAATGGATGATAAAAGTGGATAAAAGTATCTATTAGTTACTGACGGTGCAGCTTTTACTATTAAGTTTCAGGGGAAGTTTGACGCATGGCGGTTGTTCAGGCCTTGAGCTGAGTGACTGAATTTGGGCATGATGTGGCGCCCAATCGCCCGTTCCTCATTTGTATGAATCACTTTTACCATCCTAACACTGATTGCTGCTTGTTGTGGTTTTTGAATAAATGCAAAATTTTAGCGCATTCAGTGTTTCTTTCCCTCCTGTTTTTTCTTCAGACTATCCTTCTTTCTAACTTAGCTGCATTTTCTTCCACAGCTTCGATTTTTATTGAATAAATCATTTTTAGTTAGATAGGATCAGTGAATTGTAAACAAGACGAATATGCCACCCACCGTCCTGCAACTTGCCGCCGCGATCCTATCTTCCCATCTGAGCTCACGCTTTCTGCGTGGGTAGACGCCCCATTACGGAAGTCTTCATAAGGACACGACGAAAAAAATATACTGGCTTCTTGAAATTCTGTGGAGTAATCTTTCTTTGAATCAGCTGATGAATCGTTTAATTTCGTATTTATGTCTTGTGTTAAATGAAAGATATATTTAGCTACTTACTTGGTAGTCTTGATGACCATTTCTCTTTTACTTCCCCATCTACATTCATTGGGTTTCCAAAAGGATGCAGAACAGATCTGTATGAACAAACACCTGGCGCAATTTATGCACAATAAAGAGGGAAAATATATTAATGCAAACCCACCGTGTTGTAGAGTGCTAATACGAGTATTTTTCGGGAAAGCCTTTGTCCGTTCGCCCATCAACCGGTGTCTCTGAATGCTATCAGCTCAGTGTCATTCCATTGAGTTTTTACTACGAATATTACTCTACACACAGTGATTTGGACAACTGTTTTGTTTTCGTCTACCGTGACTATCAAGCATCCATCATTTTGGTCACCGCGAGGTACTAGCAACCAATTCAACGAATCGCTTTTGTAAGCAAACCTTCAAAAACAACTTCTGGCATAGTTAAACACGCCAGTGTATCAGTATCAGGTTCAAGTAGTCAGAGGAATTGTCCAGGTTTCGGCCAGATTCCGTGCACTACCATAAACTAGTACAATATAGAAGCAGATATTCGGTTCCGGCGTCGTTCGTTCGAAATCGGTTTCGTTATTCCCTCGTGCAAAGTTGTGAAAGAAGCTTTTCGTTTTTCAATCTATTCACAAAGCAAAGTAAAGTTATGGTTGAATTTTATTACTCTAACAAAACATTTGAGAGATAACCCTTGATATTTCGGTCACACTTCCTATTTTACATGTAGTCCGAAACATGACGTAAATTTATACCGATTGCCCTCTGCAGCCATTGATAGACCACAACAGATGTGGGCGAAATGTCTGCCCGTCGAACAGCAAACTCGGTTTGCGGTGCCACGTCACACTTCCTATTTTACTTGTAGTCCGAAACATTACGTAAATTTATACCGATTGCCCTCTGCAGCCATTGATAGACCACAACAGGTGTGGGCGAAATGGCTGCCCATCGGACGTCAAACTCGGTTTGCGGTGCCACACTTGCAAGGCCTGGTGGCATTTCAAATGCATGGGTTTACAGGACGACCAGATAAGCCAGTTAGCTAACTCTCCTGACCCGTTTTTGTGAGCCAGCTGCCTCTACATTAAGGGTGCACTGCATACCGCACCGAAGAGGAGAGCCCCCAAAACGGTACCCAATCCCCAGTGCAGATTCAGACAGACCACTGTCAATGTTCCGCTTTAATGTGGATACTCGACGCGAAATTAGAGCGTCTTTCGAAGGGACTGGAGGACTCAGGCGGTAAGATAAGAATGACCTGGAAGAAAGGTTACAAGGAACTTTCTTCTCTGAACCAATATCTCGCGATATCCACACCGGGCCCTATGGCTGCGAAGAAAGTCATACAACTCTCTGACTGGGCTATAAAGACCGCGACAGCGTGTCTAGTGGACAAGCGCCTAAGGGAAAGAAGATTGATAATCTG